AACATAAGATATTAATAATAAGTATTAAAAAGTTATATAATACTACATTTCATTAAATGATTTAATTAAAGAAAAGAAGAGATAGAAAACAGTAATAAATTAACTAAAATCCTTTCGTTCTAGCTATGAACGGTTTCTATGGATCAGAGTACTGAAGGCAAGGCGCCGCTGGGTATGGCAACCACGTGCTGTTCCATTTTACCCCTTCCATTTACCGGGCGTCACGTTCCCTCGCGGCCGGGACAAGGCACAACAAAAGAGAGAAGAGACAAAATTGTTTGCTTTGGGTGCAGTTTAAGACCCAATCAAAACAGGGACACGTTACCAGAGAAAAGATATCCGTTTCCTTTAAGAAAGCCAACGTTGTTTTCACTTTGCAAGGTGCAATTTTTCCATTCAATACTTATTATGCTTTTTAAAACAAATTATCTTTCATTATCTCTTCGATATTATCCTATCGACAGGTGGACAAGTTTATATGAAAATAAACAATAATATGATTATAATATACTTATGATCGAGTCTTGCGATCTTTTTTCAAAATGATTCTTGGAACGTTTAATGGAGGAAAAAAAAAATTATCGATATATTAAATTCGTACAGGTACAAGTAAGAGAATTTGACGGTGAAGATAGGATTGAAGATGCGACAGAAACGTAGGACTCGTAACTCGTGCACCCACGATCAGTGGTATAAAATTACGGTATCATGTAAACAGAGAATATCGTCGGCGCGTCTGATGGCCGCTTGGGTGGCCGTCAGGGCCTCACGTGTTCTCCACAAGCAGTGAGACTCTAACTTCGGCCTCGTCGAGCAGACGAATCGCGTAAATCGCCCAAGAATCGACGAAATGGAAGTTCGCGAATCAGGATCAATCCAAGAATCACCTAATTCTATCATAACATAGAAACAATAATTCTGATAGTTACGAATGCTTTGATATTAAAATGGAAGAAGAAGAGGTACTTTTCTTATAACTTTAATATCTTATAGAAACGAAATATGTTTAAATATTTTTTAATCTCGAAGTATCGATCAAAATTTTTCTTCTATTCATTAATTTTCCGCATATTTTTCGGAAGCATGTACTCGTTAATTAATCTTCAAATATAATAATTTTGATAATCCTTTCAATAATTGTTCGACTTTATTCGTGTTAATAGAATCGGAATTAACTCTCTCGATTAAAAAATTTCGAAATGAAAATTCCAAGGAAGAAGGAAAGTATTGTAAAATAATTTAAAATTTCTTTCGAATCCTTAACTAGAGAATTAACGAAATTCGTAAACGACAGGGGAGAAAAGGAAAAATTTTCCTGGAATATTTTTTGGAAGGATATATTCGTTAATTAATCTTCAAAAATAATAATTTTGATAATCCTTTCAATAGCTGTTCGATTTTATTCGTGTCAATGGAATCGGAATTAACTCTCTCGATTAATAAATTTCTAAATGAAAATTCCAAGGAAGAGGAAAAATATTATAAAACATTATAAAACAAATAAAACATTATAAAATATTATAAAACAAAATATTATAAATAATTTCTTTCGAATAAAAACTTAACTAGAGAACTAACGAAATTCGTAAACGACAGGGGCGAAAAGGAAAGATTTGAAACTATCTTCTAGCCAATGAAAGGCGAATTATCGGAAGAATCAAAATGTCACCGGATGTAAACAGACGAGAAAGTTCGTAACGTGCACGTGAGACAGGCAGCGGCAATGTCTGGTTCCGGTCTGCGGTTTTCCTACGGGAACACGTGCGACCGAAACGGGTTTTCTTCGGGTGGTCTTGGACCGCGTCGTCGGCTCCTTGTGCCGCGTTTTATCTTAAAAAAACTGATCCGGAACTGTCGCGATTCGACACAAGCGAGAGTCGCGTTGTTTGTTGGAAAAATTGGAGAAAGGATCGTTTCGAAGGCCTTCGAAGGATCGACTTCAAACGTTTATTTTCTTCCGCTGTATGATGAATAATAATCTCGTTTTCAATATTTCCAATGATTTCTTTCTTTTTTTCGCGACATAAACTGTATCTATATTCCAGTTTCTATACTTTAATCTTCTTATTTCTTTTTTTTTTTTTTCTTCTCAGATATCTGAAGGGCTCAATTAGCTTTTTTCCCAAGTGCCACTTGAAACTGTCGCAGAAAACGTCACGGGAAATCTTGGAAGCAGTAAAATAGTAAACACTTCTAAGCGCCACTATCTTCAGAGGGTGGTCTCTAGAAAAACGAGTATATACCTCGCTTTCAACCCTTGAGGCACGAGATCCGCTGCTTTAATATTTTTATTTCTTCGCGATATAAGGATTATCTTAGAAAGTACGTGGTTTCATGAATCGAAGTAGAATGGAAGATTATTTGGAACTGTTTCGACAAAAAGTCATATCTTGGATGAAAAAGAATGTATTTAAGAATTTTACTCTATTATGAAAAATTTACTAAGCAATTATTTTTTTATTATTATTAAAAAAAATATGGCTTAAAAATGTATTAATACGTTTTTTAATTGTTACTTTCTATTAGATTTGCAAATGTGATGAATAAGACGTTTTACAACAGCGTGGCAAGGAGTTAACGGAACTACGAAATACACACGGTGCAGGATTTCAAGTAGGAAAAGACAAGATGGCCGTAACGCTTCTCTTTCATCGGATCGTTCGCTGTAAGGCAAACAAACTCCTTGAGAATTCGTGATCTAGAGAGCGTACGATACGCCGGACAGACGTTGGATGACATTAAATAATTGCCCTCCCGATGCTTCACTTCCAGATTTCGCGGAAATTAGTTATTACAGTTAAAGTTACCAAAAAACATTCAAATTCATTCAATTGTTCACGTTGTTTCGAATCGTTGTTTTTTATTTAATTTTTTATTTAAAAATTTTTAAATTGGACAGATTAAAAATTGGAATTTTTAGATTATTAAAATTTAGATTAAAATTTAGATTATTAAAATTAGAAGCGCAATTATTTTTTTTTTTACTTTTCGTTATATCCTCTTAATATAAATATTCTTGTATAATATTGTACGAAATGTGAAATTTTCTTTGTTCGAAATTTTAAATCTCTAAAGACGTGGATCGAGCCTTTCGAGAATCGATATTAAAGTGGCGCACGTGGAGCCATGACTTTTGATAAGCGGCAATCTCTATTCTTTCAGGGCCAGTTACTCGACACTCCATCACGTGTTTCGATATATAAACATTTCCGTTTGATTGACCGCGATCAACGAGTCAATTGACAGGCGGATTGTTGAGACTTAGCGGCAGGATTGAAAACATTTCGATAAGAGAGTTTAAAGACTTCATAAATAAAAAAGTAATACTTATACGTATATCTACGTGTTAAAGGCTCAAGGGGTTCATAACGAAACCGTTATAGAATAGTTGAATTATATAGATATAGATTATTTATTAATTAATAATAATAATTTTTTATTATTAAGGTAAATAATTAATTTATATTACTAATAACATTAAAAATTCTATAGTTTAGATTTTTGTATATTTATATATAAGTATCTACAATAATATAAAAATTATATCTTTTTCTTACCTAATAGATAATATTATTTTTACATGGTAATGTAAAGTGTTTATTTTTTAATACTTCCAGCATTATTTTAATAGTAAGCAATCAGAAAAGGCGAAAAGGACAAAGTCCAGACCATTTGTATTTTATTTTTATTCAGAAATGAATATTGTCGTATCGAATCTAACCAGTTATAATACAATATTGATAATTAATGTTTTTAATAATTCTTTTTTTTCATCGGAATTAGCGAAAAGGAAAAAATAGTAATAGTGAAAATTTAATATTCCATGAACGGAAATTCATGATGACGCTTAAGATCTATTAGAAACTGACATCACGGGTAAAATTTCCAGATAATCGGTCTTAATTTCAGGATAATCAATGATGCACGAGTTCCGAGAGAATCTCGAAACAGAAAATGGAGGGCGGTTCTACACTCGGGCGGAGCGTATTTCTAACCTCTCGTTGGCTAACAACATGGACCAATCATTTCTTCAAGCTTTTTCGTACCATTTGCAAACGCGTATCCAGAAATTATAAAATTCATTGTTCGAGTAAGTTGTCTCTATTAACATCGAAATAAGTAATTCTAGACTGAATAATAATCAACTATTGTATCAATTAATTAAAACAATATTTTTTACCAAGTTAAGTATACAAATTGTATTTTTCTATAATGTAAGTATTAATTATACATAGTACGAATATACAGTATATATAATTAATCACAAAATCTATATTTACTACTCAAAAAAAAATTAAAATTATTACAGCTAAAGCTATACAAAGATAGAACGAAGCATTTTATTTAATTTTTGAATAACACACTTTTTGGAATTATTCACAATTATTATATCACGTTGATATACGGACATCAATTGGTAAATTTTATCTTTTCTTTGCCAAAGGTAAGATATTACCTATAGAAATAATATCTCAAAACATACCTTTTCAATCTGTATTAAAATAATCTATTTAGATTAAAGATACTTTCTTGATATTTAAATTCTATTCAGCATCAACACCAAGTACATACTCTCTTCTTACGTCGAATCACAGTCAATTGAATCAATACACCAATAAATCACCATTCCAAGATTTCATTGCAACAGGAAGACAGGAAAAGTTATGCAATTTTCATTACAATCTTCCATCAAGCGATCGCAACATGTTCGATTGTCGTTCTCGGTATTCGAGTTTATCTCCGTCAGGCGTGACACGAATTGGTGAAGATCAATTCCCATTGGTCGTGACGGCGAGCTTTAGCATCGTGGACTGGTCGCCGACCAATCAACGCTCGAGTCACCTCCCCTCGACTCATCACGCCTACTCAGGGGGGACGAGGTTGGCTCCGTGACGGAGCCGTGGCCTCGCGTCATCGCGATGTACCAAGCTTCCACCAGGTTCAGAGTTGATCGCGAGTTCCAGTCATCCGAAAACACTTAGCGGCGCATCAGCGCGACGTCCGCCAAAGTGGCAAGTTTAAATAATTGACCCCACCGTTCCACCTCGTGCAAACAATTTACATACGTAAATAACGGCTTCTTTCATCCTCCTTTTGTATTGTGATCACGCGTGGAAACATCACGCGAATTCGTCCTCGCGTGGCAACGATCGAAACGAGAAACATAAATAATAAATACGAAATAAATTGTTTTTTTTTTTTTTTTTTTTTTTTCACTTCATCCGATTACGAGTGAAAGAAATCGCAATAAGTGACGCGATAAAGGGTGCATACGAGAATTTAATCTTGAAAGAGGATCCTGCTTTTAAACATTTCACCGATCGTTTTATTCGAAACATACTTTTATCTCGATTTTACTTGTGATTTTGGAAATCATCGATTAGAAATTTGTGAAACGATTGGTGCAAAACGGCGAAAACTTGAGATCGATATTTGTCCCTTGAGTGAGGTGAAGGAACCACAATTGAAGTTTTTAGAATGTTTCTAATCTAGTGACAAAACTGGCCACGACGGATATCCCATGGATCAAACGGTGATCGTCCCGTCGACTCCTCGGGGAAGCGCCGTGGACAACTCGAGGATCGCGATGAAGAACGAGACAGATTCGAGTATTCACATTCAAGATCAATCCACCGTTTCGAACTCTGGTCCAACGGTGGTCCCTCGAGCCAATTTAACCATCGCCAACCCTCTGTCTCAGGATCAGAGTTTAGACTCGTTGATGTGCGGCCAATCGAGCACCGAATTGCCGAGGAAGCCTGGAGCTCGGCGCCAGGAGAAGCCACCTTACTCTTACATAGCGCTGATAGTGATGGCGATCCAGTCGAGCCGTGAAAAGAGATTAACCCTTTCGGAGATTTACTCGTTTCTCCAGCAACACTTCCCCTTCTTCCGTGGCGCTTATCAAGGATGGAAGAACTCCGTCCGTCACAATCTCAGCTTGAACGAGTGCTTCATCAAGCTTCCAAAGGGTTTGGGCAGGCCTGGCAAAGGTCATTACTGGACCATCGACCCCTCCACGGAGTACATGTTCGAAGAGGGAAGCTTCCGCCGGCGGCCACGAGGCTTCCGTCGCAAGTGCCAAGCGCTGAAGCCTCAGTACCCCCAATACTTTTCCGGAGGCGGGCCTGTGAGCGTCCAAACAGCCGGATACGAGAACTTGGCACCCGGTGCAATGGAATACGCGAACGGTTATCAAAACCAGTATCAAAATTACCAGGAATACGCGATGTACGCGCCAGGTGCCGCGGTCTCGGCCGATTGGCCCTACCCCGAGGCAACGTATAAAACGCCCCCCATTGCGGAAGTGACCTACAAGACTACGGAGGTCACGTACAAAACTGGGGAATCGTCTGTGTACAGGAATGGAGAAATAGTGGCGTTCAAGAGCGAGCCTGGGTACGTGGCGAGGAGTCAGGAACAATTGACTTACAGAGCCGCGGATGGATTCTCCGTCAAGGATCACCAGCAACATCATCCGGAACCAGTTTACAAGGAGAACGAGACTATGATGTCCTACAAGTGCCCGTCTAATCCCGCGCCTACCACTCAGCCACCCGGCCAGGATTATTACGTCGGTTACGGCCTTGCTGGGGTCAATAATACCGGAAACAACGTTAATGTTGGTATGCAGGGAATGCAGGAACAAACTGGGAACAGTAGTCCTGTGGGGAACGTGAATTCACCGCACAGCGGATGCCAGACACCTGTGACAGATAATAGTAAGTGGTAGTAACGGATAACAGTAACAGTAATAGTAAGAATAATATATAACTTTTTTCACATTCTAATATTATCCAATTGTTCATCTAAAAATTATGAAATGTTAAGTTGAATATACATAATTTATTTTTAAGAAAATCTTCCTCTTTAGAGGAGGTTACGAGCAAAAATTAAACATATTTGTTTCGGACCAACAGCTTTCTTCTTGCACAATAATTTCTTACTTAACAATGTTGGACGAGATAAGAATTTAAATTTTTGTTCCAACTTATGTAGACAAATTATCATCCATGATGAATTCAGGATTTCTTTAAACAGTAATCTTCTATAACTTTTTTACATTCGATTCTAATATTATCCAATTGTTCATCTAAAAATTACGAAATGTTAAGTTGAATATACACAATTTATTTTTAAGAAAATCTTCCTCTTTAGAGGAAGTTATGAGCAAAAATCAAAGATATTTGTTTGTTGGACCAAGAGCTTTCATCTTGCACAATAATTTCTTATTTAGCAACAGTAATAGTAAGAATAATAGTAATATAGTAATAATATATATAGTATAATAATATAATAGTAATATAATATAGTATAATATAATATAATAGTAATAGTTTAATTTGAAATTATTTTTTTTAAATTCCTGAGTATAAGCTCTTTTGACAAGTCTTCTTTAATTCTGTCCATTTCTTTTTTTTTTTGTGAATTTAATTTTTTAATTTTTAAAAAGAAGTGTGTGATTTTCATTAATGAAATCTAAGTTGTTGATTGTCTAATTCGTGTCTTTTCATTTTTTTCTTCTTTTCCTTAAATTCCATCCTCGAGAATACTTTGTAATTATTTGAAGCGTTTTGTTCCTTTTGTTAATTGATAATAAATATTGTTGTTATCATTGATTCTGTTTAATTAATTAACGTATTAATACATGGATTCGAACAAAAATTGTTACGTGATTTCGGAGTCGAAGACAATGACAGTTGGAAAGGGCCATGTGGAAAATCGCAGACAGTTTACGACCATACAGGCGCCGACTTTCCTAAAACTGTAGAGCTACTTGTTCCCAATGCATTTCGCAGTCGTCGAATATCCTTTAAACTTTTAATTCGAGATTAAAATCCATTTCAAATCCATGCAAATTAGCTAAAAAATTATTCCGTATCGTTATTCACGCTTTTCTTAGAATATATAAATATTTCTATATCCAAAGAATATATAAATAAATAAATGTAAAAAAAAAAGGGATAAATTTTCTGGATGGATAAATTAAAAAATCCATCTTTTTTTCTTTTTTTTTCAATAACATCGTCGAAATAGTAATACTTCGCGCGGAGCCGACAGACACGAAATCACCGTAGCTGACAGCACCTATTAGTCGGGGGTGACATTCTTGTCACGCCCATGCGAGAAGTCGTAATTCGTATACGTAACACGTGTAACACGGCGTGACGGTGCCTCTGTGCTCAGATTAATTTAACACAGAGCGGCAATTATACACACTCGTTAAACGCGTCTACATATTTTTTCCTTCCTTCCTTTTATTAAATTAATTATGATTTATACCACGTGTTGCAATGATCGTCTACCGCAATATATAATAGAACTATGCGAGTGTTGAATACAATGGTTATAGACTCCGTTGATCCACTCATTTCGTTTATGAATGGAACAGATTTCATGAATGCAAAAGTTTACTACGTCGATCGCGCGATAAACAAATGATCGTGGTGAACGAAAATACACGGTTTTTTTTGTATCAGTTACCGGTAGTCGCGTGCTGGTAAGTGAGGTCTCAAATCGCTTATCGTGTAAACATTTACAAGTAGGGTAAACAAAATGTTCTTTAATCTAAGTACATCGAATGTACCTTAAACACTAGTCGGTTCGTTTATTAAACCTTTCCACACAGAATCGACTTTAGTCTTCCGTGGATTTAATGTAGACAAACTATCATCCATGATGAATTCACGATTTCCTTAAACAGTAATCTTTTATAACTCTTTTATAGCCAATTCTAATATTATCCAATTGTTCATCTAAAAATTACGAAATGTTAAGTTGAGTATACACAATTTATTTTTAAGAAAATCTTCCTCTTTAGAGGAGGTTATGAGCAAAAATCAAAGATATTTGTTTCGGACCAACAGCTTTCTTCTTGCACAATAATTTCTTATTTAACAATGTTGGACGAGATAAGAATTTAAATTTTTGTTCCAACTTATGTAGACAAACTATCATCCATGATGAATTCACGATTTCTTTAAACAGTAATCTTCTATAACTCTTTTACATCCGATTCTAATATTATCCAATTGTTCATCTAAAAATTACGAAATGTTAAGTTGAATATAATTTATATACATATTTTATTATACATAATTTACATAATTTATTTTTAAGAAAATTTTCCTTTTTAGAGGAGGTTATGAGCAAAAATTAAACATTTGTTTCAGACCAAGAGCTTTCTTCTTGCACAATAATTTCTTATTTAACAATGTTGGACGAGATAAATTTAATTTTTTTAAATAATTTAATAATTTAATAATAATTTAATAATTTAATTTAATAATTTTTTAAATAAAATTTAAATTTTTGTTCCAACTTATGTAGATAAACTATCATCCATGATGAATTCACGATTTCTTTAAACAGTAATCTTCTATAACTTTTTTACATCCGATTCTAATATTATCCAAAAATTACGAAATGTTAAGTTGAATATACACAATTTATTTTTAAGAAAATCTTCCTCTTTAGAGGAGGTTATGAGCAAAAATTAAAGATATTTGTTTCGGACCAACAGCTTTCTTCTTGCACAATAATTTCTTATTTAACAATGTTGGACGAGATAAATTTAAATTTTTTAAATAATTTAATAATTTAAAAATAATTCAATAATTTAATTTAATAATTTTTTAAATAAAATTTAAATTTTTGTTCCAATTTATGTAGATAAACTATCCATGATGAATTCACGATTTAAACAGTAATCTTCTATAACTTTTTTACATCCGATTCTAATATTATCCAATTGTTCATCTAAAAATTACGAAATGTTAAGTTGAATATACACAATTTATTTTTAAGAAAATCTTCCTCTTTAGAGGAGGTTATGAGCAAAAATTAAAGATATTTGTTTCGGACCAACAGCTTTCTTCTTGCACAATAATTTCTTATTTAACAATGTTGGACGAGATAAATTTAAATTTTTTAAATAATTTAATAATTTAATAATAATTCAATAATTTAATTTAATAATTTTTTAAATAAAATTTAAATTTTTGTTCCAACTTATGTAGACAAATATAACAACAATATAAAAAAGTAATCTTCTATAACTTTTTTATATCCGATTCTAATATTATCCAATTGTTCATCTAAAAATTACGAAATGTTAAGTTGAATATACATAATTTATTTTTAAGAAATTTTAATCCTCTTCTTTATGAGATAAAAATCAAAGATATTTGTTTCGGATCAAGAGCTTTCTTCTTGCACAATAATTTCTTATTTAACAATGTTGGACGAGATAAGAATTTAAATTTTTGTTCCAACTTATGTAGACAAACTATAATCCATGATGAATTCACGATTTCCTTAAACAATAATCTTCTATAACTCTTTTATATTATTTTTATAACGATTTTAATATCGTCTAATTGTTTATCCAAAAATTACACAATTTATTTTTAAAAAATTCTAATCCTCCTCATTAGAGGAGAAAAATCAAAAATAATCAATTGGCTTGCAATTTTTCAAAATTCATTTGTACATACAATTCTTCTTTTCACTTTGCAAGAAGAATTTACTTCCCCAGAAAATCGCTATCGATAAATCATAAGCAACGATTACGAAATATTGTTAATAATAAGTATAATAAGATTAGTGGAAAAGGAGTGATTATTCTCTCTATCCGCACACTCCCATTTATAAGTACAATCTCTTCCTTCTCTCCATCTCGATACACCATGGTAGCATCGACAAGGGATAAACTTGCCACCCACGCGCCCTTCCTCCTCCATCCGCCTCTCCCCCCCTCCTCCTCCTCCTCCTCCTCCTCCTTCTCTTTTCTCGTTCAGTCAGTAAAGTGTAAACGGGATCAATCTGCAGACGCCTCGGTAGGCCCCCAGTTTTCCTGTTTCTCTTTTTCTCATCTACCCCGCTCGGTCTCGGGATGTATTTCTGGAGCAATCTCTCTACTCCGTGTGACTATGGCATCGTTGTTGGCACCCGAAAGCACCCGATATTCACCGGTTTCTTTCTCTCCTCCTCTCCTTTTATCGCTATTCGTCGATATTTCGGCCGGTCGGTGTTCGAAATTCGAGCGTGTCCTGGAAAAGGGAAGAATAAAAGAATAAAGAAATTCGAGCGAGCGAAATAACGTTTATCTCGAAAAGTAAGTGAGAAAAGTTCGAATTTGTCGGAGGTGGAGAAGTCGGGAGAGGATTTTGACTGACCAAAGTTCGCTGCCATTCAGACCACACACGACGCTGTTTTAAGACTCTCGTTACACTTACGCTCTCTGATCTGGAATAAAAACGAATTTTTTAATTCCCAAATCCAAATCGTTCTCGTACTTCAACTAACAATCATAGGTAATTTATTAATTTTCTTACACGTGGATTATTTTACTTTTGTCATTTGTTAAAAAAGAAATTTTATACAATTGTAGGGTATGCTGTAAAGAATTAGTATCATTATTGCTGATATTTTAGTTTTCTAAACGCTGATGTAAAATGTAAGAAATTCGGTCAAAGAGAATGAAGAAGCAAGAGAGGAAGATGAAAAAGACAAAGATAGGAATCGAGACACGAGTGAAGTGCGTACTTGAAGAAGAACTACTTGAGAGTTGCCGGAGCTTTAGATTTATCATACTTACACAAAGGCCGATATTCGTATCTTTCTCTTTCTCTTTTTCCTCTTAATTTCCTCTTGTTCCTTCATGCGTGTGGTCCTCTTCCTTCCGTCCGTTTTTACTTTAAAATTATCTCTAAAATTACTATAAAATTTTACTTTAAAATTATCGATAAAATTTATTATATCGTATTTATTATATTTATTATATTTATTATATTATTATATTTAATATTCGATATATTATATCGATAAAATTTATTATATCGTATTTGATAATTGTAAGAAAAATTTCGAAAATCGATGAGAATCTAACGATTAAAGAAAACCTTCTTTTTCCTCCCATTTTTGTTTCAGGTATAAAGATGCAATGCTCGAACTCGAATTCGAACAGTTCGGGAGGCGGGCTGATCGATCGTAAACCATCCTACTTTGGCCATCCAGCCGGATCGGTTACCTTGAGCTCGTTAAGCTCCCTAAGTTCGCTAAATTTGAGCAACATCGGTGGATTGAGCAGCGGATTGAGTATATCGAATATACCTGGCGCAGTTTCGTCCAATATCCATCACACGGCGACCAGCACACCTCCAACGACAATGTATTACGACCCGATTAAATACAGTATGTCGAACGTGTGACGATCTGGAAGAAAAAAAGGAAGGAGAAGAAAATTGTATTGTTGCAACGTTAATTATTTTGAAACAGTGCGATAAATCGAGATAAGATCCTCGAGACATTATGAAGGTGAATTCGAAATCTATTCAAGCGAAGAATGTTAAAAGTTATGAAGGAGAAAGAAGGAGTCTCTGTTTTTTAAACGATTGCTTCGTCAAAGTGTATATTGAGATTTTTATTTATATTTATAGTTATACGAATAAATGTTATTAATTTAAGTTACGTTCATCGCGAATCAATTCGATAAAATGTAAAATTATAAAATATTCTTTGCTGAGAAAGAAGAAAACAAACAGGGGAAAGTTTTTTTTTTTTTTTTTTTTTTTTTGGTTTCAATCATTCGCTTCGACGTTTCATGTTTCTCCGTTATTTTAACTTAAAGGATGATGATACGTTGTGGGTTTTTGAAGAAAATACTTCGAATTAAGACTATATCTATAACTGCCGATGATGCGTATCAAAGCGAGCTAAATACTAACGTGACGTCACACGATGGTTTTGCGGTGACGATAAAGGATTTGTTGATAACAGCAAAGTCTCTTTCCTAGTCCCTCCACGAATCAATTCCAGGAATTTCGTTTGTCAGACGGCTTGGAAAGTTATCTCACGTAACAAGATTATACTTTTTATCAATCAATTTATCGTTACGACAAATTAATTGTTGAAGTGAAATCTATTTCAATTTTTTTTCCCTCCGTAGCTTCAATCATTCCTTGTTTAAAATAAATTTGAATTCTTCGTAATTTTAATGATTCTTTACTCAAAAAAAAAAAAAAAAAAAAAAAAAAAAAAAAAAAAAAAAAAAAAAAAAAAAAAAAANAAAAAAAACTCACAAGAGGAACAAATTTTACGATCTCAGAAACTCTGTTTTTGTTTTTTTTTTTATTCATTTCTTCGCTGTAAAAAAAAAAATAATAATAATAAAAATAAAAAGACCGAACATTAAAAAATTCCTCCGTTTTACTTTCGAGAGGTCCAAGAGGAACCAGTAGATTCTTCTTCAAAGAAAGGTTATAAAAGGAGATAATACGGTCGTGAACGATAGTAACATGTTTCACCAGTAGTAAGTAGCACGACAGATTTCTATTGAAACAGCTTGTCGCTGGATCCCTGCCATAAAAATGACGAGAACAAGTTGGAGGCTCCTTTCGGATACGGCCAGGATAATACAACTTATTTGAGTAATATGGAGCTTCCTCGGACCTTCTTTCTCGTCACGTGTTCAAATAGTACCGGTTCCTCTTACCAATATTCTTATAAATCATATGTTATAGTTCTCCGCGAAAATCTATACTCGATTATCGATGTCACGTCCAAAAATAATATATGTGATATTCGATCCAGATTTCATTATCGCTGGTAGAGAAAAGGAAGAAAGAAATGCTTGGAAATTTTGTCGATGAATCAGGACCGAGAGAGAGAGAGAGAGAGAGAGAGAGAGGAATGACCGAATCCCTTTCTCTTTTCTCTTCTATTCTCCTTGCGAATCTTTGTGTGTTTATATGCAAGTATATGGTAAATATGTTTATAAAAGTTTACACAGATTACGGTAAAATATATTGTGCTAATATACTTGAATATAATACTTGCAATCACGAGTTTCATTGCACCATCGCCATTAACAGATAGATGACCCTTTGTTTCGGTGATTCAAGCTTCGCTATTTATCGATGATTTCCTTGAATCGGCTTCAGGGAATCAAGAGGCACGAGATTGCTTATGTAATAAATTAGAGAATGTTATGCGAGATGGTGGATCGCATGTGGTGTCGGCTTACACGAAACAGATTCATAACTGACATTAATTTCGCATTAAGATATTTCCCCTCACCGATTCAAAGATTGATCCTTACTCCTTATGGGAATGAGGATCATTTGATTCCTTTCTTCGATTCTTTTGCACTGTATTTATGTCAAGTGGTTGCAACTTTGTTTTTATTAACACTCTGTAGAAAATTTTCATTAAGTTTTTTTTAATAATGGATTAATTGTATATAATAAATAACTTTACCTTTTTATCAATTTTCTTTTTATAAAATAACATTTTAACGTATAATACGTTTTGTTCCATTTTCGCAATGACTTTTTTTTTTTTTTTTTTTTATCTTATAATATACCACGCGATTCAGAGGTATTCAAGTGGTATGAAAAGAACCACTTCTCATATGCATCGTCAAAAATGCACATAAGCCAGACGACGAATATGCACGAGGTGCAAGAGAAGTCACTCAATGACGCCGTTGACAGGCCATTTCTGGCCGTGGTTAATGGTGTTTTTATTTCTGTGATACCTTCTTACTCAAAAAGAGAAAATTATCCTTCCTATTTTTTTTTTTTTTTTATTAAAATCAAATTGATTGATTAAAATAATTTTTTTTCAATAATTTTATTCTCAAGTTTAAATATTACATGCTTACAAAGTTAAAATAATTCATCTATTTGAATATATTATGGATATCTATTTTATTGTAGATTTTTTAATGTAAACTTATGCTTGAATTAATAAGCATTCATTTATTAATTAATAACGTAAATCCAATAATGGTACATTAATGGTACGTGACCAATGTGTACTTACATTTAATATTATATATAAATTTTTAAAAAAAATCTGTGATCTAAAGAATTCTGGAGACTGCATTATCTCAAAGCGTCTTCGTATCGAAACGAAAAGAGGAAAAGCAACGGAGAAGATACAAATCGAAAGAAGGGAGAATGAGGCATAGAGAAAGAGAAGGAATATAAGAGGAAGGGGTCCGCTCTAAAATAATAAACTCGATACGATCTGAGGCTAGACAAAGTTGGAACAAACATCGAGCAACACTGTACAGATTAGAAAATGAAAAATTTGATCTTAAAATTTCGATATTAAATTGGATTTAATTATTTATATTAAATTATCTTTGTTGATATTAAATATTACTTACAACTTTCAATATTTCCTTAATGATTTGTAAATTTACACAAAAACTATATATTATTGTTCTACATATACTTATTTCGATATATTTAGTGTTTTAGATGTATTTTTTAAAAAATAGATTAATTTCAAATTTTTGGAACAAGACATTTATATTTGTACGGTAAAATATAATGCTCGAAGCGCCCTCTACAGAATTCGTATCTATCGTACAGTCATTTTAAAAATTTTTTAAACTGTAGTAGTGATATTTTAATTTAAAAAAAAATTTTTTTAAATGATCGAAATAATTCTATAATAAGAATTAATAACATTAAAGAAAGTATTTCTCATATTTATTTAAATCAATTTATGCTATGAATTGATTCTAAAAAAATTTCGTTCTCTCATTTATATAATAAAATGTCGCACATGCGCGTTAAAGTATTATAAAGACGTCAGTACTAACAGGTCAGAAAAGCGGTATTAGACAACCGGCTACTTTGTTCGGAAATACTGCCAGGTCCTTATTTTGTTTATTAATATTACATTATGGAGGAAATATTATTGAAGTTACTTGTAGCCGATAACACATCTATTCAACAGGTATATTTAGAAAAGTGACATTTAATAATAGAAATAAATTTTGTAATATTCAAAACACGTGTTTGTTCTTATTCATAACCATTTAAAAGAAATATGAAGTTAATTTATTTAATCTATATTATATGTTTTAATATAAAATACAGTAACGTATAACTTTTACTTTGCAAACTTTATTTTTTTATTATTTTTAATATTTTAATATGTATGTCATAATCTTTTATTTTATTTTATTTTTTTTATTAATTTTTTTATGAAACAGGTATTATGGTATTACAGCTATTATGTATTTTTTATTATATAGATTTCTATAATTTTTCTTTTAATAAAAAAACATCTATTTCATTTTTCTTATAAATAGATATAAATAAATTATTTATTAAATAGAAGAATACATTACAGGGAACAGCAGAACTTAGAGAAGCTTTTAAAAAACAAGAAACTATACAAGCATTATGTCAACTTATTATTTCATCAAGCAATTCACAGGTTTTTTTTATTTATTATTATTATATATATATATATATATATATATATCTTATAAATATTTTACTTATATTTTATAACAAAAAATAATTTATATTTAGATAAGACAATATGCAGCTATATTACTTAGAAAACGTTATGGTAAAGGTAAACATTGGTTAAAATTACCACATCATGTACGCAATGAATTTAAGACAGTAATTTTACAGGTAAAAAAATATTATTTTTTAATTTTTTTGTTGTTGAAAATATGTAGAATTTTTATTATTTTTTAGGCATTAGTTAATGAACCAGAAAAATTTGTAAAAAATGCTATTGCACAATTAATAGGTGTAATCGTAAAACATGAATTGCCTAATAATGGTTGGCCAGAAGTTTTACAGTTTGTACAGCAGTTAGTTACTAGTGAAAATTTATTACAGAAAGAGGTATAAAATATAATAATAGTTACTTTAAAAAAAACTATATAATTTTTTATATCTATAATTTATTATAATATATAATCTTGTTATAGTTGGGGACCTATACTTTATCGATTATGACTGAAGTTGCACCTGATGCATACCTTACACATGCTGCATCACTTGCAGTTCTTTTGGGTCAAACATTAAATAGTTTACAAGATTTAGGGAATCCGGTAGCATATTATATCTTACGAATAATGCAGAATCTTGTTCCTTTAGTTGAAGGTAATCAAATGGTAAGTTTTACATATAATAATTAGAAATTGGTTGAAAAATTTAATTAATTTTTTTAATAGTGAATATATTTTCATAGATGGTAAATGCTTATCATCAAATGATGCCACAAGTTATGACCACAATTCAGTCTCTTACTACTACTAATGAAGATAAAGCAATTGAATGCTTTGAATTATTAGATGAATTGTGTGAAAATGCAATTGCTGTGATAGCTCCACATGTCAAATCTCTTGTCAGTATGTGCCTTGTTATTGCTGGTAACAAAGCATTAGATGATGCTCTGAGAGTTAAAGCAGTTGGTTTTATTGGATGGTTAGCCAGAACAAAAAAGAAAACCATAATCAAACATAAACTTGTTGAACCTATTTTAGGTATGATATATTAATATCAATTCAAAATAAATTTTTGAATTTACAATTTGATATAACTTGTTAACATAATTTTATAGATATGTTATTTAATCTTATGTCTATGCGACCTGAAGATGACAATGATGAAGTTTACTTTAGTGATGATAATGAAGATAATACACCTGTAACTTGTGCTACTCAAACTTTAGAT